ATGACGTCGTCCCCGAGGACGATCCTCGCCAGCTTATTGCCGAGTTCCGTAACCACCCGTTTCTGGAAGCTGACGTCCGGGTCCACCCGGTGCTGCATCCGCGAAGTGCCGCAGGCAAGATCGTCCCGGCCCGGATCAAAGAAATCTACATACAGCGACGCACATCCCACACAATCCACCTCGTTCAGTAAAAGCAGGGGTTTGGCTGTATCGAGGACGCAAAAAAAGTCCCCGTCCCGGTGCTTTTTCGGAAAAAAAGCGACCACGTCCAACCGGAACAGGGCCTTCCGTCCGATTTCCACTCCGAAACCTTCCGTGAATGCCTTGTGGGCGGCTGCCGCGAACTCGCACAGCCTGTTGTAGAACCCCGAGTTGGCCCATGTGCGGATAAGGTTGTTGGCCCGGTCCCCGCTTGCACCTGCCACCGTTGTGGTGTAGTCCGGCGTCAGCATGACGTCATCCGGCTTCACCACATCGCTGTACGTCTCCCCTTCTCTGCAGTACACCGACCCGTTGCTCCCGTTGCTGTATCGGGGCGTATAGACGACCCGGATCCTCTCCATGCAGCTCGATGGGCTCAATACACTCCACCTCCTACACAGATGCAGACGGACCGTCAGCCAGACAATGAGCCACTGAACTTGAAAGGGGCTATTGGCCTCCGCGCTCGCAGCGACACTTGAATCAACCGTGCGTCCCTGCAAACCGGACCACGTGACAATTTTGAGCGACCGCAATAATGCAAGAGGGTGTAATCGGTTGCCCTCTGGGACATGTCCCATAACGTCCTCTTCAAGCTCTAAGCAGACGGCGTTCTCTCTCCTATAGGTCGCTTTTCCGGAACCAATATACCTGACAGCTTGAATACACAGTGGGTTGTCAGGGAGAGTCAGACCCACTGGCACCTTGACAGCTACGTACCTCTTCTTCTGTTGCGTGCGATGCCGAACGCAGCAGGCCAGCATACCGGCCGGTAGGCACATTGCCTTCGCTGCACCGCGCATCCTACACAAGACAATTAACCCGTAAGAAGATGTCGCGCCGTTGGATTTGGCATGTGATGCGAAGACGGTGATCTTCCCGTGGGGCCAACTTGTAAGTCCGAACTAAAGATTGAATAAAATAAACAAGTTTATAGATAAATTTGCTGCTTTTTTGCGACGGGTACACCGGGCCCCACGCTCACAGGCTTTGGGTCACCTGCAAACACAAACTTTGACCAAGCATAATTTGCTCAATATTAACCTGCTGATATTCAACTGGCAGTCAAAGTTCATCCTCTTTTTGTCAGCTTTTCAATGGTGTTACCTGACAAAACCAGTTCGAACATGATATGGTTATAGACTTGAAAACGTATCGGGAGGTACGCCTGGTCACACTTTTTGTTTTCTCGGACAGGAGTTGTTCTGAGCAGAGACGTGCTTCAAAGACATCCGCCTGCTTAGATGTACGCTCAGCAATCGGGGAGAAGCATGGGTGCAAAAGACAGCTACATACCGATCTGTGTGGTGCGCGGCGTCCCGTCCCACTCCGGACAGCCCCCCTCGCAGCTCCACGCTGCGTCGCCAAAGTGCCAACGGCAGCAGCGTGCAGCCCGCCTCTCTGCTTGGAAAACAACACGGCGCGCATTATCCGGAGTAACGCGCTTATGTGAAATGATGCGTTGAGCGGCTGTGATCAGGACTTGATCTACAATGCAATTATCCCTAAGAGTTCACTGCCAGTCTGATCGCCCCTTTGACCTCCTCTGGCTGTGCACGCCAAAGCAATGGGACCCCGCCAGTGTCAACCTGGCAGTGGGCCGCTACCGCTTCATGTAACAAGCATTGGACATGGTCAGGAACTATGTGTCCCATCTTCCTTCCAAAATTCCCGGCCCCCCGCACTACGATGTCCCATGCACACTCCGCCGACCGCTTCAGCGAGCTGCCTAAAATGTAGTAACCAGCAGAAGCAAGCGCTCAGAAGATGAGCAAGGGGGGCGCAAGTTTGAGCCTGGAAAGATGTCAGGAAGTAGTGCAGTCTGCGATGTGTTGAATGGCCGCCAAGATTTGCGACGTGGAGGGTCAAACATTGGTTGTTACAACCATTGGCCTTGAAGCGCCCTTTCGACCTCCCTCCACTTCCTTCGACTGTGCTTCGTCAAATGTGCTAGGATTCCGAGTTTATGGGCACGTACCACTTAATGTCTCGATTGAATCTGTGCGCCAAGGTCGGCCAATGGTTCTCTCATGTCAATGAAGGCATCGGTAGGAGCGGTCTGCTTTATCGTGGATGCTCTTTGAGCACAGCGACATTTGAAAGCCCGTAAGGGGGATCAAGAGGCAGGGAAAGCCTAAAAGGAAATTTTCCACCTTTGGTCCTGAGAAGGAGAGAAAGGGAACGCAATCCCTAAAATGGCCGACGGATACAAGGTCCACATCGATAAGTTGGATGTGCAGAATTATAGAACGTGGAGTTCAAAGCCTTGAGTTTCTTCTTACTTCCAAGGATCTGTGGAACGGGGTTGAGGATCCCGTAGCGCACCCTGCTCAATCAAAGAAAGCGTTGTCCATCATCGGGCTAAACGTTGAGGACCACCATTTAGGATCGATTGAGGAGTGCAAAACCGCAAAGGAGGCGTGGGATCTCCTTGAGAAGACCTACAAGAGCAAAACCAATGCAAGGAAGATGCAACTCAGGCAAGAGTTGCATTCTCTCAAGATGAAGTCGGGTGAGCCCGTGACCATGTATGTGGGTCGGGCAAAGGATCTGTATAGGGACCTGGTCGCCACCGGTTTTGAGAAGAAGCCAGATGAGTTGGCATGGAGCGTGCTTGCGGGATTGCCCAAGACGTTAAGTAACCCTGAGAACAATCCTCGAGGCTTCGGAGAGCGCCATTAGCTCGGTGGATGCGATTCTGCCGAAGCTCTTGGTGCATGAGCAGGGGTTTGAGGAGTCGCCCAAGGAAAAGGGCGGCGGTGGGTCAGACTCCGCTGTGGCCTATGTGGCCGGGCGGAAAGGGGGCAAGGAGAAGAGCCACGGCAAGGATGAGAGCCGGGGCAAGGGTCCCAAGTGCTATTATTGCGGGGAGTTTGGCCACATTGTTCGGAAGTGCGGCAAGCCGGATAGGCGGGAGCACAAGCCGGAGCAGAAGAAGGGGGGGAAACCTCCCAAGGGTGTGGCCTCGATGTGGCCTTTAGCGTCATTGAGGGGGTGTCGACCGACGAGGGGCTCGTCGATTCGGGGGGCTCCCAACACCTAACCGGGGACAAGAGCCTATTTGAGACCCTCGAAATGTTCGGGGGGAGTGGCCGAGAGTTCACGTTCGGGGACAAGGAAATCCTATGGGCAGAGGGGAGCGGCTCGGTCCAGCTGCGATGTGCGACACCGACTGGAGAAAGTTTGGTCACTCTGCAGAACGTGATGTATGTCCCGGGGGTGGCGGCGAATTTGATCTCGGTGAGCAAGGCCACCGAGGTTGCGTCAGTGCTGTTCAAGGAGAACGGCAACTGCGAGCTTGAGGTTGACGGGGAGGTAGTCCTTGTGGCTCGGAAGGTGAAGGGTGTCTATGTGATCAACCGGGCGGAGAAGGAGACGTGCTTCCTTGTGAAGAAGCCGGAAACGGCGGAGTTGTGGCACCGTCGGTTGGGACACGCTGGGTACGAAAACTTGGCGAAAATGGTGCAGGGAGACCTCGTGGAAGGGGTCGGGGTGAAACCGAGTGCGTTCAGGGCGCTTAAGACCTCGGTGTGTGAGCCCTGCATTATGGGGAAGCAAACTAGGCTCTGTTAGAAACACAGCGTTGTTGGAAGTGATATTCAATCAATCAAGTTCACACAATGTATAT